TATATATATATAAAAAAATATATATATAATGTGATGTGTATTGTAATGCATACACAAGATAGGTTTTCCCCTGCCCTGCACCCATGGAGATGGAGCCTCCATTGTTCCTGACAAATCAAACCTGGCTGTGACCAGAGCGAATACTGCAGGAGACTCTTGAACAGGTTTTTATTCAACAGCTTGAGTTTTTTATAGAACTCTCTTGTCTTGCGGTCCACTGGCAGACCAGGTGACACATCCAAAGGTGGCCATTTCCCATTTGTAGTCCTTTTGGTTTTCTTCCAGAGTTAGGCAAGATCTGACCTCACAACCTTGCAGATACTCTCTTGGCATGGGCTTGAATCAGAAGGTCTCATGTGTTCCTACTTAGCTTACTTCCAGCTCTTTCTGGAAATCTGACAGGATAAAGCCCTGTTGCTTTAGTGTTAGCTGGAGATTCAGAGTTCTGTCATCAAATGCTGTGTCTTATGCTGATGCTTTTCTTGCCTATTTTCCCACTACACATGTGAAGGATATAAGAGATGGATATTCTTCTAAAGGGAAGTTTGTGTTGGAGATCTTTACTTCTGGTTTGCTGTGACTTTCAGATGTTTCTTCCTAAGTTCTGCAAATTCTGTATGTAAACAAAAAGTTTGAACCAGTGCATCTACTGTGATGAACTGGATGAAAATCACCTGAGTGAGTCTAGGACAGCTCTTTCTCACTTTTAACTTGGATTACCTGTTCATTTGCAAATGCTGTTTAAGCTTTCTGCCCCGTATCAACTGGTTTTGTCAGACCTTTGCATTCAGAATCATGGTGAAAATGCCTCTATTTCAGTACTGGAGCTTTACAACAGAGATTAAAGCAAAGACCTGATCCTCCAAATGCCACCTCAATGCTGAAAATGTGTCATTACCAGCACATCACCTTTCTTCCTTTATAGAGAGATTCCCTGTGACTGTTTTTATTAGACCATTGATCTGCCTGTCTGTTCCATGAGAAATTTTAGAATTATAACTGGTTGGTGAGAATCACACTGAAGTGAGGCAACTGTAGCAATCCTAGTTAAAAATAGCACAACTCTTTAACCAGCACAACAGAAGGCTGACAAACTAGCATTGGGTGGGAACAAGCAGGTGAATGTGTGGGGAACTTAAAACTGATGAGTCTTATCCATGCCAAGTAACTTCAGGTAACTTGCTCCTGGTAGCTGATTTTCTGTCCCTTTAGGCCCCCTAAACTATCTCACCTTTGTATCAAACAAGTGCTGCTGTGCAGTTAAATCATGTAACTCTTAAATAGTTCAATTAACTGCTCCCCAGAAGCCTGCAAAAGGGCAAGTGAAGCAGGTGTGAGTATCCTGATAGACTATCTCCCCTTGAAATATTGGGAGTTAGCTTATGTATTAATGTTCAAAGGATGTCTGATGACTTCTTGTTCTGTGTGTCTGTCTTTGCTGGAGTCAGACCTAAGACAGTCAGAAACGTGCCATAACGTGCAATCAAGCATTGAATTTAACCATAGCATTTTCCTTCCCAGTCTCTGTGAACCTGAATGTGAGGAAGCTGCATGCTACAGCTGGCATGGGTGTCTCGAAAACCCCAACAGCAGAGATCGAGCGCAGTCTGTGTGGATCCACTGTCTCTTCTGTCTCCAAGGTGACATATTGTTATTTAAGATGTGCTAGAAGGAGAAGGGCTTGGTCTATGCAAGTGAAAGAATTTACAGTGAGAGAATGGACTATATTATGAAAAAGGTACTGGGGTCATTGATAGTAATGTTAGAGAGAATTTTAAGTGCCATCTAGCTGAGGATTAATTAGCTAAAAAAAGTGACTCGTGCTACATGCAGCTTGGATGCAATCAAGTTACCTGAATTCTGACTTTGAAGAACGTATCCCTGAAAACTTTAAGATCTAGTCTCTTTGAACATAGTGCTGTGAACTGCCTTGCATCACAACTTACAATAACTGCTTCTTGATGTTATTGCTTGCAGGGGCACGGACTTTTTTTTTTACTGTGTCACTGCTTACCTTGAAAGTGGGGGATAATTTGGTATTTGCTACGGTTGGTAGTTGGTCACTTCAGAGTGGGAGAAGATACTTTTTCTTTTTTTCTGGGGAGAAACTGTTTAAATAACTGGTAGTTACATACCAGTGTCTGTACATGAAAACTTACAAGTATTTTCAAGGGGAAATGTTTCCTGTAGTACTTCTGTACTCATTAAAGGGGGCTTAAATGGTCTTGCTTATATAGAACAGAGAAAAAGAAAGAAGGAATAAACATATCCCTTGCTAACATGAGATTAACAAGCTTCCAGCACTCATCAAATAATCCTAGATTTTTTTTCATTATGAGAAGACTGTAGTACTTTTATCACAGGATGGCTGTCAGCTGCAGCCATGATTATCTCTACAGGGGCAGCGATGCCTGTAGCAGTAGTCAGTCCTTTAGGTAGATTCATCCCAGTAGAGACTTTTTGTCCTGGCTTTAGATATTTATAAAAGAATGAGTCTCACTAAGACAAATCAATCAGTGTATATTTACCAAAGAAAGAAAGACTATAAGGAATAGTATTTTTAATGACCATATCCAAACAGACCCGTTTGCTTGAAGTTTTCAAGGTAGTACCTGAATGAGGGATTTAAAAACAGAAAAGGTCCTGGAGTTTCACTGAAGTAAAGTCTGATAGATTTATATTTATCTCTTCCCTATAATTATTATACAAAATTGATATTATGGGAGCCTTTTCTGAAATGTGTGATATTGTCTGCAGGTCACATATACCAGAGAACATAGCAGGGAACCAGAAGAGGAGGAAATGTACAGTGCAGAGAATTTCCGTCGCATTGCTCGCAGTCTCAGTGGGACAGTCATCTCGAACAGAGAAGAGACTTTGGTCTCTTCTCACAGTTTTGTAAGTAGAACGATGTGCAGGTTTCCAAAGAGCCATCATCTGTGTGTAGGGTTGCTGTTTTCTCTGTCTGTGTTTAGTAGTTAACAAACAAGACAGCAGATGACTGAATAATAAGCCATGATAAAAGCTTGTCTTTGTGAATTTTTGTTCTCTTTTTGGAAGAAGAATGAGCTTTTATTTAAGTAACAAAGCCATCTTCTTTAGGCATCATTGCAGAGTAGTACCTGCTGCAGCTGGTAAGCGTGTGAGCTAATATTACTTGCCAGTTTAAAAAGACATCCAGTATAAATTTTTTTTTCAGTTGACTTAGAGTATTTTCAAGAAAGTTTCTAATACACCTGTAATTTTAAAAAGACAATGCTAACCATGTGAAAGTTTCTGCTCTCTTGTGGGTATGTGCAGCAAGTAGCATTTTTAGAGTGTAAAAGTAAGCATAAAGGGGAGACAATTCAAGACTTCGTACATAACATGCAGCCAGTTATTTACAGGAAGTAACTAAAAATAGGGAGATTGATTTTTCCTTTGTTATCTCTGTTAAGTAGTCATAGGTGCAAGTTAAAACTTCAAGTGAGGAAAACAGTAACACATTATTGTTGGTGTTTAGCAACATAGCCAGATATAACGTGAGGGTTTGGCTTGGATGGAATTTTTTGCCAACTGTGCATAAGTTTTGATTTGAAGCCAACTGCATAGTAAGTGTAGAAGTCTCAGTTGCAAAATCAGTTATGTAGACTGGTTGGTCTGATTCTGTCTTTCTACTGTATATCATAAGCTAAGAGTATGTCAACTTCTGAATGTTTGGTCCTTGGTATACTTTAGTTGAGGGCTTTAATGCATACCTGGAGGTGCTGGCAGAAGCAATTAAAAGCCTCCAGCTGTCCAAGACCCCCCTCTCTGCTGAAGGTTTTTATCAGAAGTAGCCGATAGGATGACTGTCTGTCACCACTCTTCAAGTGAATCACTGGGCTCAAGCCTGTGATGGTTTGTTAATTATGCCATTCAGCCATTCCTACTTTGGGGTAGGTACCTCCTAATAGCAGGAAATGGTACAGCACTGGTAAAGATTTCAGCTGCAACAGATAAATCTGTTCATAGTCTGGGATCAGAGCTTTCAGTAAAGCTTGCTAGGAAATAAAAAGGAAGGATCAGGAATACCCTTTATTTCATGACTTGTGTAGTGTGGCAGTGCTGATGCTGACTGGCCTGCCATTGTTCTGTGGATTCAGTTTGTGAACCAAACCTCCATGAGTGTGTTTTGTTTGGTTTGGGTTTTTCTCCTTGGTATATTTCCAGTCAAATGATCCTCCTAAGTAGCCCACCACTGCAGTAAGAGCCTTACTGGATTGTTTCAGTTTTTATTTGTATTTCTCTTTCACATACAGATGCATGTTTTTTTTCCAGTGTCTCATCCCTTTCCTTGGATCAACACCATCTTTGCTTGATTCAGCCCAACGTTGTGTTTACTCATCATTTTATGTTCTTTTCTTCTCCTTTCTCATTTTATAAAAGGAAGCACCAAATACGAGGAAAATGCCAGTGGACACCAGCCACCGTTCTTCCAGCTCCACTTCCTTTCCTTTCCCCCATGATCCTCCTGTGTTTCCCTTTGATCCCCAGCACAACCCAAACCAGGTGCAGCACCTACCCCATGATGTACTGATGCCCAGCATGGTGGGCAAGGCACGTATACCATCAGGTAATCACAGGACTTTTCATCCTCCTCCGTGATCCGTATTATTGCTGAAATACATCTCTTCAGATCTTGTCTTTCATAATGATGTTTCACCATCTGCCTGAATTCCTCCAGAAATCTGGAAGGATGAATCATGTTCTTTTTCTTCTTCTCTGCCCATCTGAGGAGTTCTGTGATTCTGTGCTAAGTGGACATAACAAAAGGGAATAATCTTTATGGAAGCATTATGATGACTTTATACAAAATCCTATTGACTTTTTGTGAGGTATTTTCTTTAGTGTAAAAGTAGCAGTAAGACCCATTACCTTGTTGGTTGTTATGTATGAGAGCACTTCGACAAGCTACTCATTCCAGCAAATCACATATGTAATTAAGCCAATAGAAATAACTAATTCCTGCATGAGAATTATTTTCCCTGTGACAGCCATCAAAACCAGTTTGATCTGCCAGCCTTGAAATACTTTGTGGGGCTCCTCCTTGATGACACAAGGGCTATTAAAGACATCTGAAGTCTGTGACAGCAGCTGTGGTAGGATAAGGAAGAAATGCAGCGAGGAAAACGAATGCTAGAAAGGGTGCAGCTAGCTTTTATTCAGAATTGCATGTCAACCAGTAACTGGATGTACTAGTGATTTTGTTTTTCTTCTGTCACCTGTTAGCCACAGCTGAAAATTCTGAGAGGATAAACCAAAAAATATAACTAAGCAAACCTTTTGTTTATTTGTTTGGTTTTGTTTTGGTTTTCCCTAGGAGATCAGAAGAACATCATCCAGAAACTTTTGGTTGTGCCTGACAGGGGTGAAGCTTTCCAAGGTGAAGACTACCCAGGTGTGGCACTGAGCTATGGGAGTCTCCCTTGTGCACCCAAAGGCAGCCTCTCCCAGGGGCAAAAGCCTCTTGTTAATCTGCATTTAGGAGATGGAGCATCAAGTGTCTCTGGCCGTTGGCTGAACATGAGCTACCCTGCCAGGCAAACAGCCACATTACCAGATAAACGAACGATGCTCTGGGGGAGACATGCTGGCCAGCCAGGCAAGAATTTACAGGAAGGCTTCTTCCAGCAGCCTTCACAACATCAAATGCATGAATCTTATGCCATTGGTTGCAGGCTGCCAGCCAGCACAGACTACAGCACTTTAAGGATACCACATGAGCCTTCTTGGGATCCTGGTGCCTCTCCAGGTTGTCCTGTGCCTCCTTCCTGCGTTAAGGCCCCAGGTCCAAGGAGAGTGGATATGCCCCCAGAAGAAGACTGGCGACAGAACACCTACACCCCTCAGCCTGGCAGAAGGCGAATGCTACCAATGCATGTGATGGATGGGACTTTTTCTTCTGCTTCGGAGGCACACAGAAATACGCTGGCTCGAGCAGCAGCAGCAGCTACTAGCACCATGCAAAATAATAGGTGGTGAGATCCCGTCCATTCCATATGCCCTAATAAACTGCCCTGTAAACAGACTATAGCTGTTGCCAGAGTATGGATTACATGGATACATGGAGACAGCAAACTCTTTCAATCAGTATCTCTGCCAGTTTTGTCTTAAAATGTAGCTATACAGTATGTCGAAACTAATTGCACTGTATTTCATTTCTGACACTACTGAACTGCTGTCTGGATGGGGAATCTTAGCTATTCTAGTCCTGGCCTCTCCTAGCAAAAAAGTGCTATAGGAATGGTAAGCTTCAGGGACATTGGTTTACGGGTAAGTTCAGAAGTGTGTGCGTGTTTTGAAGGAAGATGGCCACTAGCTAAAGGACATTTTTAAGGACTGTTTTTCATGAAATGTAGCTTTGGTAAATTCTTCACATAAAAAAACCCAATCCTTTTGTTTTCCTCTCTTTGCGCTCTCTTGTTCCTTCCTAGGGGAAAAAAAAAACAAAAACAAAAAAACTGACCCACCTTCCAGGTTCCAGTAAATCTGCACTTGGCAGGCTGGCAGTTAGTAAAGCAAACCCAGTTTTCAGTGTGCTGAGATCTCAGGCAGAGATCACAGCTGTAGTTGCTGCTGAGGAAGTGGCAGGGAGACATTGTTCATGAGTAAACCAGAATTTTCCCCACTTCCATAAGGCAAACTAACAATTCTTCAAACAGAAAAGACTGTTAATGCTGCACGCTTAATTACACCAATGTAAACACGGAATAAGTTTAACTATTTTAGTGTCAAACATACTTGCTTTTGTAAGTATTTTTCAAATAAATCTATGAAAATAGTTCTATTTACCTGTCTGTTTGTGAGCTTTCTTTGCTATTTGGCTTTACTCATCAGTTGGCCTGAAACTGCCAATTTATTTTCTTATACACTAAGAAATATAAGTAAATTGTTTATTCTAGTTCATTACAAAGTTTATGTAATAAATATTTAGTTAGATTGGAGGACATGTCTGGCTTTTGTCCCTGAATTTGATGTGTTTCATTACTACTCTGTGCTTAACTTTCCCCTCGTAATGGACAGTAATTAACAGTATCCTTTGAAAAGTTATTTTGAGGCTTCTTTGTTGGAGGGGAAAACTACAGAATCCATGCAAGATAGTGGTGTATGCAGATAGGACTCCTGTACAAAAAAAGTCATTAGAAATTATTGGTGTGGTGAGAAGTGTTATTTTAATAAGAGTTGCAGTCCTGCTCTTGCAAATGCTGTCAGGTGTGGTGGTTATGAGTTGTTTAAAAATGTGGAGGGTTCTGTTCTGTGCTTACATCGAGAGTGGGAGCGCAGGGGTGGTGGTTGTAGCCCAGCCAGGCAGTGGAAGGTGTCGGCTGCCCTCTAGTGCACACTGCTCCTCGGTCACTTCCTCTCCTTCTTGCTCTAGGTGGGGGTCTTCATTTTAATTTCATGTTTTGCACCTCAGTGCTTGGAATTTCATCAGTTTTTGCTGTTTAGTCCGAGATCAAGTCTCATTCATTTTAATAAATGTCACTTCTCAGTTTCTCGTTTCTAAAGAATTGCTATTATGCCTGTTACTGTTACAGTCTCAGGTCACTACATCATGCTACGTTGTGTTTTACATTTGAGATTGTTGCACACTTCTTTGTACATAACTGCCCCGACTAGCAGTGGTTACCACAACAAAGCACTCTCTTTTTCCACCCCTTCATTCCAGAAAAGCCCTGCTGACTTTTGACTTTTTCACATGATGGTTTTTGCCAATTTAATAACATGAAACTTTTAATAGTACTGATTTTTTAACTAATTTTCTAAATATAAAACAATGGAGTATTATTTTACTTGAAGCAACTATTTGATTAAGGTTTCCCAACAGATATGGAATTGTTAGTCTCTCTGGCTGCACATGGGCAATGCCATAGCCAACTGTTAAGTTGCTAGCAATTGTGATTTTAGGAAGTGGCTGCAATGCGGAGGTGGATATTTGGACAGAAACATTCTTGTTGCAGTTCTCTCTCTCTCTCATGTTGGTAGAATGATACTATTGGAGTAAAGGGAATTTGGGTAGAAGCAGCCCTTGTTTGTTTTGAGCATTTTTATTACCTTCAGCAGTTGGAGAAAGTTACAGTAGCCCCAGGATGCAAATAAGTACATGAATAAGTATTTGACATTTTGCTTGACTACAGCTTTAAAAAATTCAGGTTGCAGAGTGAGGCTTAAGTACTCTTGAACTCAATTATCTAAAAAAATAATCTGCCAAAATAAAGTACAAAGTCACCTCTTCAAGAATCAATGTGAAGTGTGAAACATTTGCAAATAAAGAAAATGTGCATGCTTAGATTTCTTTCTTTTAATCGTAACTACCAGGAAGGAGGAAGTGTACTTCCATAAAGCTCTGCAGAATAATCCTGAGTTGATCCAACTCATTTTAATCATCAGTGGTATCCGGTTTTTCTTTTGAAGGGAACTGTTGTTTTTATTCCATCATCATAGTTCTAGTTACCAGGTTTCAAAACTGTTTTGTAAATGTCCTGTGTATATCAATTACTTTGAAATTAACTCAATCAGAGACCTGAAAAGGAAAAGTTGGGACATAACCTCTGAAATATGTCCATACCAAGCAATATGTTAGTATATCAGAATAGAAACAAACTGCAGTAGATTCAGCAACATACATTTAACATGGGAGAAAATGCAAAGCTGGAAAAATACCTTTACTTCATCTGAGCTTGTGCCTGCAAGTCTTAGTGAGGGTAGTAAGTTAATACTTCCCTTGTAATTGATTTGACTAACTGCTAACTTGTAAGTCTCTTCAATGATATTGACTATTTAAACCCTAGAAAAATCAATGATGTGTTAGTTTAATAGTTCATTAAAGTTCACTGTTGCCTATAAGAAGTGTGGGGAGGGAGCTTCCACAAGGAATTCAGTAGCTATTTTGGAACAGTCTTTCTTAAGAGTTGATAAAGTTTGTAAGCTTTGCAACATAACCAGAGCTTTCTTCATAAAGTTTCTGTCACTGGCTGCAGAGTAGGTTGCTGGATGGAATTAAGTGAAATGAAACCCCCCACAACTCAAATTTACATTTTAAAATAATTTAATTTCAGTTCTCCTAAAAATAAAATTCTTATTCCCTACATTGGTATGATCTCTTGTTGTGTTTGTAATATGTGTTTACATCTGGCTGTGTAGGGGGCAAAAAAAGAGCAATAATAAAATGAAGAGTAACTTGGTGTTCTCTAGCAGTAGCAAATTTGTGTAAATATAATCCTTCTGTATGTGGAAAAGGAACTGCCTAGTGCAGTTCCTTCTCCTGAAGGCAACAAATTTTGTGCACACTGTTTATGGAAATCGTACGCGGACCTGCTGAGCAGCAGATCTGTTCAAATGGCATATGTGCTGGAGTCTACAGCACTAGTGAGTTAAGCAAAATGCACTCTGCTTTAGAGACGTGAGCTACAGAAGTGCAAAGTAAGTGCCTGGTCCTTCCTAAACAAAGGCTGCTGCACCCATGTTAAAATGCAGCGAATTTGGGAAGAAGGAAGGAACTGCCTTACTTATACTTTCCTTGATTGCTAACATTGCTGAAACTGGCTTACCAGCGATGGCTGGGGTAAGATGTATAAAGTGTAGGCAGGATTCCAGATAACTGACAGGTTTTACATCTAATGTCCTTTGGAGAGAGGGCTAAGGTAGGGTTATGGGGAGAAGAGAAGAAAGCAAGCAAAAGACAAGAGTGAGGGCGTGGATTGGAGTAGGAAGGAACAGATGGATAGGTGAAGAAGACAAAATGAAAGAAAATGTGTGCATTACATCTATTCACTCAAATGTTTTTCCAAAGAACATGCAGTAATTCATCTGTCTGAATTTTTTTTCCCTCCTTTAATGCATAGATGCCTGTGCAGAGAAGAGTTCTCAGCACCAGTCTGCTGTGAAGCCTTTGAGAAGGGAAGGTTGACTCATGTAGGGAATAGGTAATGTTCTTTATAGGAGTCTTTAGTAATATTTGTGCAATGGTAAATGAAGCTCTGCAGAAACACGTACATACCACTGCTGTATGTATAAATAGATAGACATTGGGCAAACAGTGTAGGTTAAGTTAGTGTTTGTGCCAGCAGGGGCAAAGATAAAAAAGTGCTTGGGTTTTACCAATACCTCACTTAAGTTAGATGTGTTCTGGAGTCTCCTGCCACTGTGCTGTCTCCTGTTTAGTACTATGGGTGGCAAAAACCAAAAGTACAAGATTTCTATCCATCTGTGCTTGCTGCCTCTGGCATTTTATCACTGGATAGTGCAGAACCTTTTCAAGCCTAGATACCTGTAATGCTCCTTTTATACTAGTTCTTCCACTATTACAAATTATCACTGATAGTTACCTTTAAAATTTCAGAAAATGTTTTAGAAAGAGCATGTTAGATTAATTATTCTTTATGCTCTTGCACTACTGCTGAAATTATTTTCTATGTGTGTCATTCTTCTAGTTCATTGAAGGATTTTTTTTTTATCCTTTAAAACCAGAAAAATACAACTCGGAAATGTTTTTAAGATTGCTATTTGATTAATGGAAAAATACTAACTAAGACCAGCTATACAGTCACTTCAGAACACTGAATATGTTTACTAGCATATTTATGGAAGCAGATGCAAATGGATGAGTTTAGCTGCAGAAACCTAAACTTCCTTATTGGTATCAATATAATTGTTTTAGTATTCATTCTTGAGTGACTAAGCACCGAATATACTCATGAATAAGAAGATCAAATGTCTATTTGTAAACTAACTTACATTAGGTTTGTTGAAGGAGGGTTATCTTGAGTTTGCAATGGCCCAGTCCCGGATGATTTGCCAGTTAATTGTAGGCTTGAGAAGCTTTATGTGTGTATATATCACTAATCAAAATAATTTTAAATATGAATACATGAGAAAAGTCAGTACAATAAAGCTGCACTTTAGTAATAAATCAAATCTAAGAATCATTTTATATTGTTAAATTTTAGCCTAACTTTTTTACTACTCGGGCAAAGTGATTT